TGGTTCTTCTCAGTTTCCCTGAACCTTTTTGTGTAACTTTAGATCATAAAGGCACGTGATACTTTACAAAATATTACATCTCCAAATACTTTGAGCTCTTTGGCAAAATGAAGTAGCTATAAAGTCGTTATCAGTCAGCATCAAATAATAAGTATTTCTCTGCCAGAACTGATATTACAACATTTATATTACTGATTTGTATGTTTGTGCCTGCAGATTTCTCCTAAAGGTTACTGTTATATACGCCCTAATTTGCATATTTAAATGTAATATGTTATGAAGCCTGAAACCTAATAAATGCTCCTCTCTATGTAGCGATGACGTGGTGAAGTTTCATGTTTTTTAACCTGTTGTGTCTTCATCATGTCGGCCATGTGACTAATCATCTGATCCAGTTTGTTCAAACCTCATTCAGAGACTCACTAAAAAGTTGAAGAAATTGCATTTAATAAGATGATGTCATATTTACACACTGAAGTTAATTTGCATATTTAGGGAGATGATGCTGTATTTTCATATTAAAGTTCATGCACATATTTCATAAGCTGCATCCCAGGGAACAGAGCAGCTTCCTCCAGGATCCCAGCTCTGTTGTTCCCAAGCAACCGACCATGTGACGTCTCTATACATCATTAAAGCTGCACTTACACATCGGCGTGCACACCTGCACGCTGTGTGATGTAACGTGAGGATCCGTGCGCGTCACCGCCTTCCTGAGCGCTGATCCGACCCGTCCAAGAGGACCCGATGAAGGGCAGCAGATGGCCACGGGCGAGGCATATGTGGTCATAAAGTATGCAATAATGCAGCGAGGAGAGCAGATTCCCGTACTGGGAATGCAGACCCAGAGGGAACATGAACGATACGGAGGGACCACGGGGCCAGTGTGCTGCGGTGGATCGATCTCTAGTTTCAAACATATGGCCCGTGGGCCGGATGCGGCCCGCCGGGGGGGGGGGGGGGTCCAGTGCGGCCAGTCTAAAAATGACAAAAATACATAAATTGCTTTTCTATAAAAGTAGCTGCTATTCCTAAAAAGTCCACTGGGGGTCGCACTCTGTGAGTGAGCGCATGCTCGAAAATGACGGCGCGCAACCCCGGTCGACCGGACCATCGCCGATGAATTGACTGGTCCGGCCCGCCTGACATCAAAGTGGACCGTATGTGGCCCCCTACCTAAAGTGAGTCTGACACCCCTGATGTAGAGTTAACCAGCCCATAAAGCAGGGGATGCTTTAGGGCGGGGCTACACGCTGATTGACAGGCCTCTACCACCGCGCTGTTCGCTCTGGGAGTTCATACGTGCTTTCGTCTCAAAACTTCACAGTGTTTTTACACTTAGTGAAAGATTATTGTGGCTCGAATGTAAAACCTTCAGCGTCACTGCTGGTTACAGAAACAACGACGACGCAGGTCTTCAAAACTGTAGTGAACAAAACGTGGTGACTCGTCTACTTCCTGTATACCGCTGTGTGTGTGTACTTTTGTTTGTGTGTGTACTTCCTGCTGGCTGGTTTTCTGATGCATTTCTTTAAATCGTGTTGCAGGAAGCAGCTCGTGTGCACTTCAGAGAGACCTGCAGCTTTAAAGCGTCCTCTAAAATGTGGCCGTGACAGTGGTTAAGGTGTGTGTGTGTGTTTGTGTGTGAATGTATGAAAGTGTGGGATTATCACACTCTGGCAGCGGGTGGTCTAATACGCCCATCTGTCAATCATTCTTACACCAGCTTACTGCTGCATGGAGAGGAGAAATACAACGCATATCATCTGCAGACATCCTCACCATGCACTCATTCATTAAACCACGCGTGTGTGTGTGTGTGTGTGTGTGTGTGTGTGTGTGTGTGTGTGTTGTCTCCTGTTAGAGTGACGGTCAAACATTGTAAAGAAACCATTTTGGAATTAAAGACTTTGTTTTAATCTCCGTTGTTGTTTTTTCAGCTGCAGAGATTTCAAATTACTGTGTATTTTTGTGTATTATTCCTCTTTGTCTACATACGGAAATGTGCTGCCAGCCAAGAGACGAGGACACGTGGTTGCATAAACGTTTTACCTTTTCATGCGCTTGGTCGGCTCCACCGTTTTTCTATACATGGATGTTTTATGGTCCATGCTGATAAGGAAAATATCAGAATCTCTGAAAATGTTTTTCCAAAATAAATCGCCCCCTGCTGGTCACTACAGAGAAGTAGAGTCATTTCCTCATAGACGTCTATGGGAGCAGAGGAGTCGCCCCCTGCTGGTCACTACAGAGAAGTAGAGTCATTTCCTCATAGACGTCTATGGGAGCAGAGGAGTCGCCCCCTGCTGGTCACTACAGAGAAGTAGAGTCATTTCCTCATAGACGTCTATGGGAGCAGAGGAGTCGCCCCCTGCTGGTCACTACAGAGAAGTAGAGTCATTTCCTCATAGACGTCTATGGAAGCAGAGGAGTCGCCCCCTGCTGGTCACTACAGAGAAGTAGAGTCATTTCCTCATAGACGTCTATGGAAGCAGAGGAGTCGCCCCCTGCTGGTCACTACAGAGAAGTAGAGTCATTTCCTCATAGACGTCTATGGGAGCAGAGGAGTCGCCCCCTGCTGGTCACTACAGAGAAGTAGAGTCATTTCCTCATAGACGTCTATGGGAGCAGAGGAGTCGCCCCCTGCTGGTCACTACAGAGAAGTAGAGTCATTTCCTCATAGACGTCTATGGGAGCAGAGGAGTCGCCCCCTGCTGGTCACTGCAGAGAAGTAGAGTCATTTCCTCACCTGACCCACCTTTACAGCAGGCTGAACCCATTGAGGCCGATCAAAAATCCAGTAAGTAAGTAAAGGCGTCCCATCCCCCGAGCCGCTACCAACAGGCCCAAGATGTCTGACCCCCCCCCCGAGCTCCTCCAGCTAATCCCAGCTACCGCGTACACTCTTAGCCAGTGTAGTGAGCGGCGTGAGGGGCGGGTGGAGGTGTGTGCGTGCGTTCGGGGGCCGGGGGGCAGATTGCGTTTTGTCCCATTCAGCACATCTCCTGGTCGCCGCCGCGGTCCATGAGGGACAATCGGCGGATTACATCTTCAGATTAGATTGTATCCCCATCGACTTCATCTTCCTCTGTCCTCCTTTATATATTTGTTTGTTTGTTCATCTTTTCTCATTTGCTCCGAAGTCTAATCCCCTCAGCCACAAATCAAACCCAAAGCTCAGTGCTCATTTTCTATTTCCACCCAACAGAAAAGCCGACACAGCGTATCTCGAGTATTTCGCTTTGCCGTTGTTTGCTTTTCATTAGGTGTTGAATTAGAGCTTTAATCTGCCTCTACACAACTACTGAGCAACGAAAGGTAATAAATAGCAAGATGAAGTTTGTTCAATTTGAACTCTTTCTCTTCTCACCTCCGACTCACACACACAGATGCAGAGTGAAAACCTCCCTTATTTTATACGGGTGTGTATATACATATAGATCTATATATATATACATACATACGTTCTGTTTTCATCATGCATTTGAATAACGTCTTTAACTAAATGAACCTTAAACAAGGGGATGTAGCCTCTTGAATCCTCTTGAAAAGCTACACTTGGTTCAGTATTATGTGGAACAGATTTAAAGCCTGAAGAGAGAAGTGGTTCCAAAGGGGAATTAAGTGCTGACAAGCTGTGTAAACCCTTCATGTAGTCTCACACAAACACCATTTATAATTCCCCATAAGTTTGCACAACGCGCACTGCATTCTGTTGCGTCACAATTACTAGAAGAAGCGTTAAGGTCGACTTCATCACACAGCCGTCACCTCTGGAGACGACCAATCAGCTCGCACCAAACCCGCCTCGCCCCCAGCAGCCGAGCCATTGATCATATTTGCGACTGAGGTCAGAGATTATTGTTACTGTCGTCAACATAAACCTTCATCCGCTGGGCATCGCCGGCGTAATCCAGCGGAGGGGATTACACGAGAGGGTCGCGTTGGAGGGTCAGAACACGGCGGATTGGAAATGTATCCAGATGGAGATTCAGGAATATGTGCTGGATGGTGAAGGGAGGCTGGATGGATGAATGGATGGATGGGAGGGTGGATGGATGGATGAATGGATGGGAGGCTGGATGGATGAATGGATGGATGGGAGGCTGGATGAATGGATGGATGGGAGGGTGGATGGATGGATGAATGGATGGATGGGAGGGTGGATGGATGAATGGATGGGAGGCTGAATGGATGAATGGATGGATGGGAGGCTGGATGAATGGATGGATGGGAGGGTGGATGGATGGATGAATGGATGGATGGGAGGGTGGATGGATGAATGGATGGGAGGCTGGATGGATGAATGGATGGATGGGAGGGTGGATGGATGGATGAATGGATGGGAGGCTGGATGGATGAATGGATGGATGGGAGGGTGGATGGATGAATGGATGGGAGGCTGGATGGATGAATGGATGATGGGAGGCTGGATGGGTGAATGGATGGATGGGAGGGTGGATGGATGAATGGATGGATGGGAGGCTGGATGGGTGAATGGATGGATGGGAGGGTGGATGGATGAATGGATGGATGGGAGGGTGGATGGATGAATGGATGGATGGGAGGCTGGATGGGTGAATGGATGGATGGGAGGGTGGATGGATGAATGGATGGATGGGAGGGTGGATGGTGAATGGATGGATGGGAGGGTGGATGGATGAATGGATGGATGGGAGGCTGGATGGGTGAATGGATGGATGAATGGATGGATGGGAGGCTGGATGGGTGAATGGATGGATGGGAGGCTGGATGGATGAATGGATGCATGGGAGGCTGGATGGATGAATGGATGGATGGGAGGGTGGATGGATGAATGGATGGATGATACAGTAAATCAATGGAACGGTGGGCATCTAATGGATGAATGGGTTATGATGAGTAGATGGACAGATTGATAGATGGATGGATGATGGATGGATGGGTTTATAGGGGGGTGGATGTACTGATGGAGAGATGGTGGACGGATGGATGAGGGGAGGATACGAGCAGTCACTTACCTATATCGGTCTCTTTGTGGTTCTTGACGAGCTCGGCGAGCTCAAAGTTTCCAGCAATGATGGCGACCTGAAGAAGGAAATACAAGTTCTTTAAGATCATAGACATCTTTTCTTTTTTCTGCAGAAACAGCGTCTTAAAAATGATTCCCATCATCAGAAAAGATACGTTCTCTCTATTTGAGAAAGGAACTCAAACCGCCGTATTGTTTCCCAGAGCAACTGAAAAGAACAAGAAGGGGATTCTGCCCCCCGATGATGAGAGCACTTTCCTCCTCTTTCAACAGCCAGCGACTTTGAACCTGATCAAATCCAAAGATTATTGGCTTCATGCATCTGGAACGTAGTAATCTAGTACACGCACACGTTTCACATGAGCCTCGCTGGCGTGAGGGTCACATGTTCCTGTGAGTTTAGGCTGCTGTTTGAGACGTAGTGACGTCATCCAGGTTCAACATTAAAGTGACAGAAATGTTGCTGTTTGGATCCATTTCACTTGATTTAAGTGAAATGGAAGAAAACATGAGTTTTTATTGCAATACTTCTCACAAAAGCTAAGATTGTCCTTGGCTTTTAACTTGACTTACTTTGTTCTGTACAGATAATCAATCCAACACACAAGTCTTGATCTGACAAAATCATTTGAATTCAAGCTACAGTTCTTAAGCGATGCAAAGGACATGAAATACGATTGAAAGCTCCGGAAATAAGCCGGTAATTTATTTATTCCTTTCATTTCCAGATAAAGTTTTTGATTTCTGATTTCATCTGAAGAAAAAAGAGGAACTGAAACCAATAATCTTCATGTTTCATGTATTTCTAGTTGAAGATATCGTTCTGTGTCGCCGGCTGCCACCAGGGGGCAGCAGACGTTGTCCCTCGCTGAGCGGCCTGCTGACATGTCGCTGAGGACACACACACACACACACACACACAGACACACACACACACACACACACACACAGACACACACACACACACACAGACACACACACTCACACAGACACACACACACACACACACACACACACAGACACACACACACACACACACACACAGACACACACACACACACACACAGACACACACACACAGGCACACACACACACACACACACACACACACAGACACACACACTCACACACACACACAGGCACACACACACACACACACACACACACAGACACACACACACACACACACACACACAGACACACACACACACACACACACACTCACACTCACACACACACACCCTCACACACACACAGACACACACACTCACACTCACACACTCACAGACACACTCACACACTCACACACTCACACACACGCATGCACATGCAGACACGCACACATACACACACGCACACACACACAGACACAGACACGCACACGCATGCACACACACACACTCACACACACACACTCACACTCAGACATGCACACGCACACACATACACACTCACACTCAGACACGCACACGCACACGCGCACACTCACACACAGACACGCACACGCACACTCAGACACGCACACACACACTCACACACACACACACACACTCACACACTCACAGACACGCACACACACACACTCACACACTCACAGACACGCACACACACACGCAGACACACACAGACACGCACACACACACGCATGCACACACTCACACACTCACAGACACGCACACACACACACACACACACACACACACACACACACACACACACACACACACTCACACACACACACACACACACACACACACACACACTCACACTCAAGGGGAGCCCAGCATCCTTATGTAATCCTGCTCTCAACACATATTCCGCAGATAGAAAAGGTGGGTTATTAAAGCGCAGTTGGCTTGAGTAGTAAAAGTGTGCCCCCCCCCTCTGCAGTCGACCTTTCTTCATATAAATAAAAACACTTGTGAGATAAAAGCACTCGAACATAGCAGGTTCCCACCAGCACCGAGCCTGTCAACATTTTGATGCGCTGCATTAATATCGCACTCAGCTTCTCCTCGGGGCCGAGCTGCGAGTCGTTACGCGTAATCGGGCTCTTCTTTGGGGCAGCAAATGTGATGCTTCCTGTGAGGGGGGGGGGGGGGGGGGGGGGATTTTAAACTCTATTTATAGTAGAACTAAAGTCTGTCCTGTTGACGTTACTCCACTTTTGATTCAAAAGGTGAGAGATGTCGAGTAGGTTGGGTTTCTTTTGTACGTACAATGAACTGTAGTTTCGGGACCTGCTTTAAACTAAGAAAAGAACTCACATGTTGTTAAAACCAGGCAGGAAGTTCTCCATCTGAAAAGTGAGCTGCATTCTGTGCAGTGACCAGCAGGGGGCGACTCCTCTGCTCCCATAGACGTCTATGAGGAAATGACTCTACTTCTCTGTAGTGACCAGCAGGGGGCGACTCCTCTGCTCCCATAGACGTCTATGAGGAAATGACTCTACTTCTCTGTAGTGACCAGCAGGGGGCGACTCCTCTGCTCCCATAGACGTCTATGAGGAAATGACTCTACTTCTCTGCAGTGACCAGCAGGGGGCGACTCCTCTGCTCCCATAGACGTCTATGAGGAAATGACTCTACTTCTCTGTAGTGACCAGCAGGGGGCGACTCCTCTGCTCCCATAGACGTCTATGAGGAAATGACTCTACTTCTCTGTAGTGACCAGCAGGGGGCGACTCCTCTGCTCCCATAGACGTCTATGAGGAAATGACTCTACTTCTCTGCAGTGACCAGCAGGGGGCGACTCCTCTGCTCCCATAGACGTCTATGAGGAAATGACTCTACTTCTCTGTAGTGACCAGCAGGGGGCGACTCCTCTGCTCCCATAGACGTCTATGAGGAAATGACTCTACTTCTGTCTTGATTTATTCCCTCAGTAAACATTGTAAACATGAGTTTATGGTCTCAGTCTCTAGTTTCAATTCAAATGGCCCATAAAGCAGGGTACGCTTTATGGGCGGGGCTACAGTGAGTGACAGGTCTGTAGCCTGGCGAGATCTATTCTGAAAGTCTTGTGTTTTAATGAAATGAAAGTTTATTGTAACATTTTGGTCACCTAGAGATGTTTGGTTGTAATTAGCAACATGATGACGGTGAATAAATCCGCCTGTTCTCTTAAACAAGCTTCACCCTTTCATCCTGATCTTTTGATGTCTGGTGACCTCTGACCTCACGAAGAACTCGCCACAGCGGCTGTGAGAGTATGAGTCCTGTTTCCTTTACTTAAATCTGAGTCCTGTTTCCTTTCCTTAAATCTGAGTCCTGTTTCCTTTCATTAAACCGGAGTCCGGTTTCCTTTCCTTAAATCTGAGTCCTGTTTCCTTTCCTTAAATCTGAGTCCTGTATCCTTTCATTAAACCGGAGTCCGGTTTCCTTTCCTTAAATCTGAGTCCTGTTTCCTTTCATTAAACCGGAGTCCGGTTTCCTTTCCTTAAATCTGAGTCCTGTTTCCTTTCCTTAAATCTGAGTCCTGTATCCTTTCCTTAAATATGAGTCCTGTTTCCTTTCCTTAAATCTGTGTCCTGTTTCCTTTCATAAAACCGGAGTCCTGTTTCCTTTCCTTAAATCTGAGTCCTGTCTCCTTTCCTTAAATCGGAGTCCTGTTTCCTTTCCTTAAATCGGAGTCCTGTTTCCTTTCCTTAAATCTAAGACCTGTTTCCTTTCCTTAAATCTGAGTCCTGTTTCCTTTCCTTAAATCTGAGTCCTGTTTCCTTTCATTAAACCGGAGTCCTGTTTCCTTTCCTTAAATATGAGTCTTGTTTCCTTTCCTTAAATCTGAGTCCTGTTTCCTTTCCTTAAATCTGAGTCCTGTTTCCTTTCCTTAAATCTGAGTCCTGTTTCCTTTCATTAAACCGGAGTCCTGTTTCCTTTCCTTAAATATGAGTCTTGTTTCCTTTCCTTAAATCTGAGTCCTGTTTCCTTTCCTTAAATCTGAGTCCGCCGTGTGAACGTTGATGTATGACGTCTGTGCTTGTTTCGTGGATTAAAGGTTGTGTCTTTGGTCATGTAAGTCACATGATTTGTGGACGTCATTGCGTGTTCGGTGTCTCGGCACATGCATAATGCATAAAGCTGATGGATGGAAACGTTTGGACGTAGAGCGAATTCTAGAGATACAATTTGAAGTTCGGTGATAATTATCACGTATTAACAGTAAACGCTTGTTTGCTGCTGTTCTAATGAGCAAAGACTTACAGGCACACACACACACACACACACACACACACACACACACACGTGGTGGCTAAGGATGCTAGTGAGGAGAGAACTTGGTCCTCATGTGTCAGTGTGGATGAAGCATCTCCACCGCCAGACTGTAGATTCATCACAGCTGTTTATGCTTCTGCAAGAAACAATGTTCACTGAGGTCCGAAACCAAAACCCACGAGTCCGAAGACCACCAGACCACGAGAGACCGCTCGTCATTTTCCTGGACAGAACACGACGACACTCACTACGACGCTTTAGATGAACTTCATGCTTCGTCTGCACGCAGCGGATAAGAGTTACATAACATCTCCACAGCTGCTGCGTCCCATCAACTCTGACTCATGTTGGGTTTCAGGTGCTCGTGCAGTCCGTTATTCCCACTGAGGCACTGGGAATGAGGTGGGAGTGTGGGGGGGGGGGGGGGGGGGGGGGCGTTGCCATGGCACCAGAACTCAGCTGGTGTTTGGGGGGTTGAAGCTGAACCAGGAGTAATATTTACACACTGAAGATAGAAACAGAGTCTCATGACAAAACATCTGGAATATTGTGGCATTTGAACATGAATACTTTGACAAGAGGGGGGGGGGGGGGGGGGGGGGGGGGGCAAAGGGAGAGGATGACAAGCTCAGAGGGCCGACTGGAGGGGGACAAAGGACGAAGAAGAGCGAGAGGAAGAGGAGACGGGGACGGGTTGTTGGATGGGACACACTCTCACACACACACACACACACACACACACACACACACACACACAGTCACACACACACACACACACACACAGTCACACACACACACACACACACACACACAGGCACACACAGTCACACAGTCACACACACACACACACACGCACACACACAAACACATACACACGCACACACACACACAAACACATACACACACACACGCACACACACGCACACACGCACACACACACACACACACATACACACACACATACACACGCACACACACACACAAACACATACACACACACACGCACACACACACACACACACACACAGGCACACACACACACACACACACACACACACACACACACACACACACACACACACGGCCTCTATTAACAGCGACAAAGGAGGGACGACTCGAAGGCCGAACAAGGTGGAGCTCGGGGGGCGGGGCAAACCTCAGCCCCACCCCCTCGGCCTTCTCTGACACACTGCGTGGACATGGACGTCCCCGAATCTTTGTCCTCATTGCCAACCAATGAGACATCTCTGTCCCGCCTGCCGCTTTAAAGACACACGTGTCCCTTTGCCCACTTTGTGTCCTCCGCTCTGTATCAACATCTCGGCCCCCCTGCAGCTCATGGCTCATGAATATGCAGAATGATGTCATCAGACCCCCCACGAGTCCCACGGCGGCCTGGAGCCCCGAGCGGGACGGTCCTGTGACATCACACCTCTTCCTGCAGGGACGGGGGCCTTTTTGGAGGCAAAGCGTGTTTATTGGGGGGGATATTGAGCTCTTTTGGTCCAAGCGGACGTGGGGGGTCTCATCAGGGCTGGTGCTCGTGGAGGGAGGAGGTCCCTGAAGGGGGGGCAGCTGGTTCTTGTTCTTTGGCAATGACACATCAGCAGAACGTTTGGCGTGAGTCCAGTAATCCACCTTTTCCTTGTGATCCGGTATTTGAAGCACCACTTCCCTCCCTCACCCCCCCCTCCCCCCCTCCCACCCGGGTCCGCTGACTTCCTGCACAAGCCGGAGCGCCGGGCCCAAACGGGCTGGAGCAGGTTGGAGTAGGCGGCGAGAGCACCAGCGATAAAGATAGCGAGAGCGGGCGGGAGAGAAGGTGTAGGCAGATCCCTCCATCGGTACCAAACACCAGGGACGCCTCCCAGAACCCCCCCTCACGGGTCGCTGCTTCACAACACGTGAGCCGTCGCCGTGACGCGAATGGAGCGCTCCCCTGTCCAGGACCCCGTGGGACTCCCCCCCCCCGGGTTCTTTGGTGACTCGATGGATGTGTGGATCACAATCTATGACATCATTCTCTTCTGTTAGATCAGATTGCATCGGCTGCATTGTTGATGCCCCCCCCCCCCCCTCCCCCCCACGACTGAAATATAAATGACAAAGTAAGACGCTTGAGCGTTTATCTTCATTTTGGATAGAAACATACGGAGACAACAGCAACAAGTTATTTAGAAACGGTCCCTCCTGAAGGACGTCCTGGTGACCGCTGGTTGTGTAATAGTGGATTATGTAATACGTCTTTGCTAAAGGAAACCTGAGAGAAAACATCAAATTCTCTCTTAATTAAAGGCGGCTCCTTATTTTCTGAAGTTACTGAAACTTATTTTCTTCCGGATTAAATCACAGTTTTAATGTTATGAAGTGAAAACACGCTTTGTAACGTCCTCAGCAGGTTTAATACGAAACATCACAGTTTGTCTCAGAATGACGAACAAATTCAGTCCAAAGTTGAAATTAAAAGCATAAAAACGCCACCGATGTTTCGTCGTATGATGACTTTTAGACTGTTTGTGCACAGATTGATTGATTGATCGTCTCATTGATCGCTTTACTTTGACGAGCTGGACGCCGTCAGACTCTCACCGGCCGGAAAAGACATCGGCAACCCGCTCGTAGCTGCTGACCTCGACCATTTTACACTGTTGCCATGGTAACAAATGAGATGGAGAAATTGTGCCGCTTCCAAATATGTTTCTTTCCCCCACGCTGATGCAGAAATAGACGTTCATGCAGCGCGGACGACGGGTTCTGGTTCTCTACCTGAAACGGACTCTGGCTGTTGTAGTTCTTCACTTCTTTGTCGGCGCCGCGGACCAGCAGCACTCGGGCGCAGTGGTCCTGAGGAGAGAGAATAAATATGAAAGGAGGGCCGAGGAAACATCCAGAACCGACGGAGGGGCTCGGATCCTCTCGCTCTGCGGGCCCGGCTCAGGAGTCGGAGGAAGCAGGAAGTGGTCAGAAAAACATCCCAGCAGCGAACAGAGGACAGAAGGTCCACGCGAACCTACACGAGGTCCGCTGAGTGAGCAGCTATCGCTCCACTCAGAGGACAGAGGGAGGGAGAGAAGAACAGAGGAACGAGAGTGCTGAGGGCTTTGGATCTGCTGCACAAATCGCCCACAAAGTGCTCAACCACGCATGCACGCTGCACACACACACACACACACACACACACACAAGAATATAAATACTTGAGAGTTAAAAAAAGAGAAACCAGATACTCACACAGATACTGAAAACAAATCTGTACATCGGCCACGATAAATAAA